TGAAATCATAAACATATGTGACACTTTCAGCATACAAAATTTCAGTTCTGAAATTGCATTACTTTAGGATGTAGAGAGGCCCGTATGTTTTTTCCTACTGGTTTACCAGTGCTCTCGAACTAATTATCAAATGTTAATTTTTTTATTCCATTGTACACCCAGTACATTTTTCTACACACCTTCCTAATTTCAAGTTCCTAAGTCTTGTGGTTTTTGCGCAGCAACACAAAATGTAACGTTACGTTGAACACCCAAATCAGACGACCCTTACAATTTTTTAATATAAAGACATTATTAAAATAAATACAAAACAAATTTTGTTTTAAAGTTGTATTTAGCATAGAATGTTTTATTATTCTGAGCAGCAGAAAAATAAAAAATACTTTAAAAAGTTCTTAAGTTGTGATGAAATACGCAAAAGGTAAAGTTAACAAGAAGGGAACAAAGCTTTTGAACTAGCTCCTAACAAAACTAATGAAACAACCTTTTTAGAATTGCGACTATACTTCATATTTTAAAGGTTTAAAATCCTAATTCATCGAAAAAGTAGATATACGTATTTATTCTAAGAAATTATATCTTTGTGTCTGATTTCGTAACTTTAAATATCGTCTGCACTTAGGAAATAGCATATTAAAGTGATCTTTTCAAGCTATTAAGTTCAGTGTTGTAATGCTAAAAAAACTTTTTCCTGGAACGGAAGTATCACGTCGGTATCAGAGCAAGTTTAGAAAATTTCTCATACCTTTAAAGAATTCTTCCACAAATTATTATTAATTTGTTAAATTTATAAATACGTGTGCACGAATTAATACCTAAATGTGAAGAAACGAAAATGCTATTTTTTTAAATCTAATGTATCACGATTGAGTTAGATGAGAGTAAGAAACATCAAAAATTGATTGGTGGAGAAAATTCAGAAAATATGAGAGAAGATTGTAAAAAACAGCATGAAGATTCATAAATCAAATAGATTTATTTTCATAGATATATTTATTCAGTTCAGCCTTTCTTAATTGAAATTTGTTTAATTTCAATAACTGCTTTTTTCATAAAATTTTGACTTCAATTTTGACGAAAATTCTACAATTAGATGTTGATGGAAATGGTTACAGTAAACCCATAATAGTATATAAAATAATATTCTTTTTTTTTTTTAAAAAATTTCACTACAAAATATTTTTAGATTAATAATTATTTTCTAGTTTTAAATTTTTCGAACAACAAGCTGCACATACATTAACATTACTTAGTAGATTATAATTTAAAATATTATGATGTTTACAGGATGTTAAAAAATTTTTAAATTATTTGCAATAGTTTCCAAAAAAGTTATTTAATTAAAAAATATTTAGCTGTAACGAAATGTTAATAATTATAATTAAACATTACTTTTAATATTTATTTTAAAAGAACCACTGAGTAAAACTTACAATATTTTCTAAATTATAGATCAATTAGTGAGCAATTTTAAAAATTAGAAACCATACCATCATAATACATAATAGAAAACTCTAAATGTAACGTAAGAAGTTTATTTAAGGAAGTGTTTCTAATGTAACGTTTTAAAAAAAATCGATTTCTCAAGAAAATTAAAAAGATTACATTTTTAAATGGATCAATGCGGTTAATGACGAACCAGTGATCCAATTTATCTAAGAAAAAGTATTAAAATTGCAAATAAAAATATGCAAAAAAATTATAAGGGGTAATTCAAAAATATAAATAACTAAAATCTATAATTAAATTAAATTTGAAGAAAAGATAAATCATTATTAGAAGTCTCTTTTAAATAAAATTACATAGAATTACGAAAAATTAAATTTAAAAAAACGTAATTAACTAATCAGTACTAATAAAATAATTAAATGTTTTCCAATCTAAACTAGCTCTAAAGGAATATTTTTAAATGTATGTTTTTGTGTCAGATTTTATTATTTACTTAATTGTCAAAATCATCCTTTATTTTTGTCTTTAAATACGCACATTGTGATACAAGATGTAAAGCAATTAAATACTTAATTCATTAGCATTGAGCATTAATTTTCATTCTTATACAATTTATATTTTTCTACTTTATATTTCAGCATCTGGAAAGCACTTCTAATTTAAAAGAATTATTTGTAATAAATAAATAAGACTGTTAAAATTATTCTATATTTGAAACAATCTTAAATAACTTCAAGAACTGCCTATATGTGATCTTTTTTTCTTGAAAACGTTTAAATAAATTATGTTTTTTTTTCACATTTAAAGCAATTCTTTTTAAATTTTTTTAACAAGAGATCTTGGACCTGGATAGCCTGGTTGGTAGGGCACTGGGCCGATGTCCTAGAGGTCGTAAATTCGATCCTCACCGGCCGAAAACTCCCCATATAGTAAATGGTGACTGATGCACGTTAAATCTGTCGAGTCACTAAGTCATCCATGTTTCCATAACAAATTATACCTCTGGAAGTACTGATCAAGGAGTTGCCTTGTCTTCTGGATTGGGTTCAAAATTACAAGGCTACGGAGTTGAACATTAGCTGTCGTAAACCCAAAATTGGGTCGGCTGTTCAACGACGGGGATAAAATAAACAAAGGACCTTCAACTTTTGTGTGAAAAGAAGGGTGACAGGTAAAAAAAGAAGCTGGCATAGACAGCTCAAATTACAGAAGTCCTGACAAACTTGATTTCCGGTTGTCTTTCAAACTCGTCAACCGACTTATTAGACTTTTTTGGAGGAAAATAAAAATTTATGAATAAAATAAAAACGTGTAATAATTAACTTATAGTTAACTTATACTTGCGGCGTTACGACTAGTAAAAAAGTACCGAGACGCCATTCCCCTCCCCCCTACATCCCTAAGATTGCATGCTGTTGCATAAAAATTAGCTCAAAAGATATAACGATGTTCTGTGGATAGAGAACTTAATAAGTGTAAACAATAACTAAATTCTTAAACGTGGATGAAATTTCAGAAACTTCCCTCCGCTTACGATACGAGATAGGCTTCATATTCCGGGAAATTCGATAATTGAGAATTATATTCGAATTCGCACTTACTTTTTTCCTTTATAAGATTTTTCAGTATTTTACAAATTCCAAAATGTCATAATCCTTAAATCGATATGAGAAATTTTATATCATAGCATTAATAATGTCATGGATTCAACTTTCTTAAATCAACTTAAGGCTTAAGTCTAAGGGAAGGGTTACCATGTTTAGAGTGTAGAAGTACAATAGCAATATGATATGGAATGAATTTCTTTCATATTTGGACGTAAAAATTAATCAGAAGTAGTAACCCGGAAGTCGTATTATAAATTTTAACCACTTTATCACCACCGGTGCTCAGCTTTATTTGGTTCTCAATTCATTCTTATTCTTCTGTGCTCTGTACAAAGCGATTTAAATATAACTAATGTATTTCGGTTCTAGTATTTTTTTAATGAATTGTGAAATATGTAAATCTTATACCCACCAGCCACAAAACCGTGTAAAACTTTAATATGGCTCTCAACTTCACTCTGTCTCTCAACCATTATGAAAGACTTCATCGACCTTATACACACTATAACAAAAAAATCGAAGCACCAAGAAGCAATCATCAGATTGCTTTGAAATTTCGTATGCACGAATGTTTTGAACAGATATGGCTGGAATGATGCCGACTGGGGACGTATAGTCTTTAGCGACGAATCCCGCTTCCAACTGTGTCCTGACGATCATCGAAGACGTGTTTGGAGACGCACAGGTCAGAGGGGGGGGGATCCTGCCTTCACTATTGCACTCCACACCGGCCCTCAACAAGGCATTATGGTTTGGGGTGCCATTTCCTTTGACAGCCGGACCCCTTTGGTCGTCATTAGAGGTACACTTACTGCACAGCGGTACGTCAAAGACATCCTAAGACCTGTTTTGCTACCGTTCCTTTTGCAGCGCCCTGGGCTGGTTTTTCCGCAGGGCAATGCCAGACCACATACGGCACGCGTTGCTATGAACTGTCTGCAAGCTTGTCAAACTCTTCCTTGGCCTGCCAGATCACCAGATCTCTCGCCCATCGAGCATGTCTGGGATATGATGGGAAGGCTATTGCATCTGATACGGAATGTTGATGACTTCGTTCGACAATTGGATCGAATTTGGCAGGAAATACCGCAAGAAATCATCCGGGAGCTTTATCGGTCTATGCCACGTCGTGTGGCAGCTTGTATCCAGGCTAGAGGCGGGTCAACGCCTCATTGAACTTGTTACTGTAACTCTGCAATAAATTATTCAATTATTCTGAAATTTTAATCATTTACTTCTGTACATTGTCTTCCTATCCACCAATTTTCGTTTCAATCGGACAACTCCTTCTTGGTGTGTCGATTTTTTTGTTATAGAGTGTATTTAAAAAAAGTATTACCAAAAAACTTTTTATAGATGAAACAACGTTATTTAAATTTGACCACGATAAAGATTCTTGCCATGTAGACAATGAAACAATAAGTAAAATCCATATAAATAAACTTATATACTATACTGTAAAAAGATTTCAATAAAATAAATCGTGTTAAATGAACATTTAACTTTGACTATCCATTTGAACATTTAACTATCTAGTAATTTATATCAGTGTATTCTAAATAAATTTCACTTATTCAATTTAATAATTTAAAAATTGCTTTTTTGCATGATTGAAACAAATCAACACTTCTTCATTTCCAACAAACAGTAACATTTATTTCTTTTTTTTTTCCATAAAAACTCATTATACTGAAACAAAAGTAAAGATCAACTCTTCAGAATCATAAAAACGATATAAATGGGGAAAAAAATTTCTTTTGTATATATTTCTCAAGAAACTAAACTGAAAAATCGATAGAAGTTTGGTTTCCTCACTTCTTTTCAGAGAATTAAAGAGTCAGAGCGAAAAGTTAACAGTAGCGTCATCTATAAACCGTTTTATTTAACCGTGTTTGTATCATCGACTTGTAATAAGAAATTCACTGCAACTTTATTTGCGGTTTTGTTTAGTAAACAAATGTATTCTTTGATATTCCGAAAATTAAAATTAATTTATTAAATGCTCATTTATTTAGATAAAAAGTGTATACATAAATGGGGATTTCATAAAAAATAAAATAATATATTGCTGATTCTTAATTAATTAAAAAATAGATCTTTTTTTTGTTATGTGCATTTTAAATAAAACGAAAAATAACTGCTGAAAAATTATGGCATCTGTATTTCGCCGTCGAATTTCTAAACAAGTAAATGAATTTTATTTAATAAAAGTCTTCTATTATAAAATTGCACTGAATATCGAACTAAAGTTGTTGATCACTAATTCTATTATGTTATATAATAATTATAATTTCCTGTGAGAAATAAATGCTATAATCTTAATTTAAAATAAATTATTAAAATTTTCCAGATTCTTATTAATATAATTGAAAAATCAATCTATTAAAAATTTCTCTTAGAAGATATTTTTAATTAATTTTACTCAGATTTACTATTAACTTTTTTAAACTGCTTCATTGTAGTGAAACTGATGCATAATTGTTTCATTAACTACAATATTCTTATCATGGCTTTAATATGGATTTATTATTACAGATTACTTCCATTCTTAGACCTTTTCTGGAAGGCGAAGAAACGAAATATATATACGATTCTCTACCATACTCTCTTAAATTTAGCCAACCTAAGCTGTAAGTATAAAACTTTAATATTTTAATGAATTAATTTTTTTTGTCGCTAAACATCAATTTGGCGAGCTAAAGGTATGACAATGTCATTTTTAAAACTTGAAATATGACATCATTTAATATTGAACATTAAACATTTACAATAAATTTCATTTGTAAACACAAATATTGAAAAGTTATCCCAATAATTTTTCATTTTAATATCCATCCCAAAACTTTCATCCCGTCCATCCATTCCAAATAATTTTTCAATTATCAGGATATAAGTTTTGATTAAGTTGCCTTATATCCGCATTCAACATCACTGGGATGGGGATATTTCCGTATCGTGATCTGCCTCGCCAAGGCGGCAAATTGATTTTAAAGAGGAAAATTTTTTTAATGAATAAACATGTAGATGTTTTCCTGGGTATGGCTACGAGTTATACCCTTTGAGTTTACCCCTTTCCTGTAATGTTTTTTTTTTAAAGTTTCTCTCGGGCCGCTGCCCGGAAGTTGCCACAAATCGCGATATGGAATATGCGATTATTTTACCACAGATCACAATGTGGAAATCTCCCCTCAGTGATTATTAAAGATAAGTTAGTTCGTAAGTTAAAATTCCTTCTCTTCCTGTTTTTATTTTATGAAAATTTGACCTTAACCGAAATAGCTTTTTCTCAGCCTACTAATTTAGGAAACAGATAAAGAACTTAACTTGTTTTTTTTTTTATTGTTCATTTTATTTATCGAACTTACTCTGAGACTACCGCTGAGTTTCAGAATCTGATTAAGCTCAAGTCAATACATTCTTTAAGATATTCTTTTTATGCAGCATATCCAGGAGGATTAAAAATTAGAAAAAGTTGGACATTAGGTCTAAAATATACATAGAAAAAGCTTTAACCCCTTGGGGACGGGTGGTTCAGAAAAGCATTCGTACAAAATCAGAATCAGGTTGTAATTAAATAAAAAGTGGCAACTTAAATGTAGTCGTTGCTAATTTAACAGACTTACTTTGCTTCTACTTTAATTATTGTTAGTTTAATCATCTATATAATCAATGTTAATTCAAAGTATAACTAAATAGTTTTATTTTGAACAAAATAATGGTGAATTAAATAAATCAAACAATTATAACTCCGCCCACAAATAAACTGCTAAATTAATACTTTGATTACCAGTTTTATCTTTTTACCCTGATTGATACGGTTTTATGCTGGCACGTATTTGTGACAGTCGGCGCGAAAGGGTTAAAGACAAATTTATCTGCTAAATAAAGATATTTTGTTGGAAAATTGAAGTTGAGTTGATATTCAGCAACTTTGCAAAGAATTATTAATTATGCAGTCATCTGCATCTTTGCTCTATTTGTAGTGCCCTAATTATAAATGTTTATTTAAGAAATATATGTTTCAAGTTCCAATTCTGCAAATGGAATGTTTTCTATTTAAAGGCATTTTTAGATAACTTTTAAGGGCTCTAGTGATAATGATCATGCATTATTTTAATGTGCCTTTTCCTTTCTAATCAAACATACAATATAAATGTGCCGTTACAAAATTACAGTGTCCTTAATTATTAATATTTTTTACCTGATGCATGAATCACTTGTTTGAAAGCAACCTGGTACTGTTTAAATTAATTAAGTTAACATGACAATATATTAAATTTAACTTTTTGTAATGCCGTATAATTTTTGGTTTGAGCCCAAAATATTTTTCAATAAACTTAATCTTTGTTGATCTTATAGTTTATCTCCTCAATTTGAAATATCTTGGAAAGATGTCGTAAAATTAAAACCTCATTTGATGGGTAGAATTCATCTGAATACAGTCATGACATATTTGAAAAATCAGGTAGATTGCTAAATTTATCAATATGTTTTATTATTATTTCAAACTGTATGTAATTTATAAATGTATTTGTTTTGATATGAAGTGCATTTTCTTTGTGAAATTTCCTAATTTTATTTATAGTTTTCTCTCCGACTGTTCATTAAGTGCAATGACTTAAGAAGTTTTTTTTTTATTTTCAAGGGCATATTAAAAAAGACAATTGAATGTAAAAAAAACTAGCAGTAAATCTATAAATGAGAGCGAGCGGTCAAATAGCGTTCCAGATTGATTTCCGGCGAAGAGCGGGGCATCTAAGCAAGTGAGACAAGTCACTCTCTCACACAAGGTACAAAAAGTGATGCCAGAGTTGTAGATCATTTTGCAGAATAAACGTTGCCCAGGGTGCACCACAAGGAGGTAGATCTACATTGCAACCCTGATTTTAAAAGTAAATTAATGGAAAAAGGAAGAAAATTTAGAGAAAGATAAAAAAAAAAATTAAAGAAAAGGGCTCATATAGAATCAATCTGAAATCTTTTCACTGTATTCTTAAACACAAAAACACTAGCAAGTGCAATCGAAGCTGGATCCATTGTTTCCCCATGTATTGTCTTGTTTAAACAGTCCCATCCGAAGTCAACTAATTTTTGTTCAAAAATGAATCTTTATTTCCTTTCTTTACAGTAACATAATTATTTAAATATTTTGTGTAAAACTATATATCTTGTTATTTATATCAGGGCTCAAAAAAACTCAGAAATTTTACCCGTCCCAGAGGGCGGCTTGTTTCTTTAATGTACCCGTCCTCCTTTGAAACTAACCCGTAACTTCTAAATAAATAAAAATATAATTTTCTCTTATTTATTACAAACATTTATATAACTTACACAATAAATTAGTAGTTACTAGGATTACATTATACAATAATAAAATTAATGCTATGTTACTAATAGTAACCTAGTATTTCTTTTATGAAATAATTTATTTCTTTTATGGAATAATTTAAATGACAAAGGTCAAGTTATCTGGAATGTCAATTTATCTGAGGGTACTGCGTTTCTTAAATGAATCAAATATGGTGTTTGCCAGTTCCACAATCAAGCCAATGATTTACAGAGGTTTATGCACGGAAATCTGAAAAGGGTTTTCCATTTAAGAAGTCCAAATGCACATGCACAGAGCAACTTTTCTTTTGTTTACCGATTGCATGAGCATGCGCATTTGGTCTGACGAAGGAATTAACCGGATTTCTAAATTAGAGGGTCATTTTAGAAGTGAGGCGCTAGACTCGTGTAAGATAACAAAAATTGAAAATGTATCACGATCGTTAACGCAGTGTTCCTACGAGTCAGAGAGAACAGGGAAAACCTGGAATTGTCAGGAAATTTTATTTCAACTCTAAAAATTAGGGAATAGTCAGGGAAATTTGCAATTTTCTTACAAAAACCTGTAAAATTCCTTCATTATTCCTGGAAAAAAACCAGTCTTAAAATTGTCTATAACAATACTCAGTTATTGGTACTCAGTTATTGTCTATAACAATACTCAGTTATCAGTAGAGTTAAATAATTCTAACATCTATTACAATTATTTATTGTAAAAATTTTACATTTTAGACATAGTAAATTGCATCCTTCCTCATATAATGATATATATTTTACACAAACAATCTAATACTTGGTATAACAAATAAAAAAATTCAAATTTTTTAATGAAAAATTTCGTAGTATATATAAAATATGGTGTAACATCTTGGACAGCTGACCCCTGAGTACATTCCCCTCTGGCATCCGGTGTCTCCCCACGAAATTCTAAGAACTCGATGCTCCTGCAAAAAGAGGAGAAAGACTGGACTCTGTAAGAGAGGAGACAAGCAGTCTGGTGAGATGAAGCATCATGAGCGGACCTTGTGCCGTCTCGATTTGAGAACTTTTTATTATATAATTTTGTGTTCGGTAGAAGTGATGATAATTGTAAATAACGGTGTATATAATTGTAATACAACCTTGTACATCTAAAATTTACCCAGAAAAAGTTATTAAAAGATTGTTTGTTTTGATAAGAGTTTTAGTTCACTCTGAACAAGTAACGAAATCGTTACAATGGTATGGATTTTCATTGAAATTTACCTGGAAAAGTCAGTGAATTTTTTTTCTGAAATTGAGTGAAAACCCTGTAACGGGAAAATGGCCGTCTGCGAGGACGTCGGATTTGAGAAATCCTTTGTCCACGGCGAATTTTTGACAGTCGAGGGCTGGCAGTTTTTCGAGCCCTGATTTATATATGTATATATTTTTTTAACAATATGTGTATAGTAAATTTATTATGACTCAATATGTTATTTTTGCTCTTATTTAATGTTGAATTTTTTAGGAATTCCCTACTTCAGATGGTATTACAAGCATATGTTATGATAGTCTAAAACAAGATAAACTTATATTTTACATAGAGCAAGAACTTTTTACTTCAGTAAGTAATATCCTATTAAAAAAAATTTATAATGTAAGAAATCAATGCTTCCTAATAAAAAAATAATATTTCTTAACATCTCCCATTAAAATAAGAGAAAAAGCTGTTCTGTATTTGTTGTTTTATATCTATAAGTTATTTCTTCTATGAATGAAACAATTGACTTTTGTTATTAGTATTTTTTTATTTGAGTTATGATAATTGTTAATTAATTTTAATATTTTAGCTCCAAAATTGCTTTAACTCTCTTATATTTATAAATTTCTGTAACTATCTAAGGTGTACAATGCGCAAAAGAATTGGTTCATCCAGTATAACTTTTGATCTAATGGTCAGATCTTCATGTTCTAGAGTTGAAACTTAGGATGACTTCAAATATACTAATTTATTAAAACAGATGGTATTTGAATCATTTATTAATAATAGTCGAAAATACTTTAAAATTAATATTTATTAATATTAATAAAAAAAGTGAATTGTAAGTAATAGAATTAAATATATCATTTAAAAGAATGTAATTTTACATGGCAAAATACAAAATTTGAGTGAAATCAGTCGTATAGTTTTTGAGAAATTCTTATTTTTAGTAAGTATGTAAAAAATAAAAGTGTTTACTAAAAGTTAGATTTTGCATGGAATTATTTTTTGATAAATGAATTTTATAATTTGTGCAAGAATTATTTAATTCGCATAAAATGTTATCAAGATATAGAGTCCAAACTTTTGATCGCTCTCCTGACCAAACTATTAGAATCATATTTCCCAGGTTGCAGCTATCCCCTTTATTTAAGGGATCAGAATTCCGAATCTAAAAAAAAAGTACATTTTGTGTCTAATTTTGTACCTTAAAGTATCGTCTGCACAAATTATTGAGCCTATTTTAGGTCATCCCCTCAAACCATTGAGATTGAGTACTAAAAGGTGAAGATCTAATCATTAGATCAAAAATTATTCTGAGTGGTCCTTTTTTTTGTGTGCACTGTTCAGTCTATAAATAATTTATCTGTAAATTCAAAATATTATTTTTCTAATAAACTTTTATATTTTTAGAGTGTTCTTCTAGATATATGCCATAGAATCAATACCATGCCTGATCACAGCACATTTTTTAAGTGTATTCCTCCAGAAACTATTGTTATTGACTTTAGGTAACTAAACTGAATGTATATAAATAATATGTGACTGTTTTTATTATAAATACTGTTGTAACATAATATTAATATTGCCATAGCCTCCTTATAAAAATTTATCTATAATAAGAGTGGTTAATCTCTCTTCCTCAAAATAGGGAAAATATGGAATTCTCAAGGTAATACGAAATCAACTTTTAAAATTCTTGGAGTATAAGCATTTAATAAAAATCGCACACAATTTCAACTCTAGTGTGTTTCAATCTATTATTAAGCATATAAACTACTGTTATTGTTTTTATCTTTCTAAACATCAATTCTATTTTAATAAATAATTCTAATTAATGATTTTGATATTACCACTTATTATAAAATAAAGTCATTCCTTAAATTTTTTTAAACATTAAAAAAAATAAACATTTCAGAAAATCAATCAATTCATTATTCTTCTTAATTTTAAATCTTTAATTAAAATTAATAGCGAATTTATTAAACAGAAATTATAAATTTAAACTGAAGAAAGTAATTTTATTTTTTAAAAAATTCTTCTCGTCCTAAATGCTTATTATTTGCATACTACCTTTTAAATTATGATAAATTCACATTAAAGGTGTTTTTAATGCTTTTTTGCCAAGGAAAATAAAAAATTTAATCCTCAGTTTAAATGCCTTAAGTACCAAGCAGAGCTGTAATTTAAACTAGAACTGACAAATGGCTTTAATATAAACATTTAAACTTTTTTTAAAAATGACCATTTTGTCAAAATTTTACCATCTAGATAAAATTCATTTATGAAATTTTTTGTGAACCTAAGCAATGCAGCGAAGTAGTTTCTTGTGTATAAGAAATTAGATCTTAAATGCTTTTGATTTCCATGAAACAGAGGTGTTCCTTCATATTGAAATACCTCGCCATTTTCATGATATATAACATAGAGGACACTGTTTAAAGATGGCCAAACCTAGCCTTATAGTCATGAATAATTGTTGCAAATTTCCAACAGATATAAATATAGCATATTATTTAATTTCATGTGAGGACAGAGCTTTCAAAAATCAGCCTTAATTTAAATCAAATCAGTAAAAGTTTTACATTTTACTCTAGAATATTGACTTTGGTCATCTTAATGTCCTTAGTTTCATAAATACTTCAAAAAGAACAGCACTTTAAAAGTAATGAGTTGTTTATTATAGTCACTTGATAAACAGTGTTTTTATGCCCTTTGTTTACAGTGTAAAGTAGAGTCTTGATTGTTCAAGTTTTTAATAAATCTGAATTGGTGGGAAAAATCAGTTTAACATCCAAAGATTGACCAGTGCATGCACAATGTGTGGAAGAATTGTACTTTTGTCCAAGACCGTACTCGAGGTGGAGAGAAAGGGACAATTTTCCTGGGGTCTTGTCTAATTTCATTTAAAAATATATAGTTTTTTAATTAATTTTTAACAAAAACTGAAAAGCATTATCAAAGATTCCCTTTCTTAAAAAATGGCATTATTTACTTGATAAGTATCGCAAAATCAATCATTTATTGTTTTGAGTATTTATGATGTAGCTTTTTATTGCCTAATACATAATTTTCCGTATTGTGTTTACTTTGATTACGCTAAGCCTCCTTATTTAAAGTTTTTTTTCTTCCTATTCATAACATTTTTTAATTGTTAACATTAGTCTTGCTAAACGCATTGAAAAATATCCTTTTTTTAAAAAAATAATTTATGTTAATTTTGTGCCTAAAATTTTAAAAGATTATAAGTTTCACTCATGATTTAAAATATTAAATGGTTTTTTAAAGTTTGTAATTAAGATTTTTTACGTTTGCTCTGCGCATAGTGCTAAATTTGTAATATGTGATACATATTGCAAAATTTGTAAAGTGTGATGCATAGTGCTAAATTTGTAAAAGTGATGCATAATTATTTTATTTTTTCAAGCTCTCCTAATATAGCGAAGCCTTTTCATTATGGTCACTTTCGCTCTACTGTTATTGGGAATTTTATTGCCAATATTTGCAAATACATAGGACATGATGTTACAAGAATCAATTATTTGGGTGATTGGGGAATGCAATTTGGTATGTATATTCAACTTCCTTTTAACCTCACAGTTACAACTCTTTCTTAGTAACTCATTTGTTTTACTTTTTTTAACCAAGGTATTCTTGCGGTTGGTTTCAATAAATTTGGTTCTCATGATAAACTGCAAGCAGATCCTTTAAATCACTTGTTTGAGGTAAATTGATTCTGATCAAAACTTTCTATTTCTACAGAGTATTTATCTGTATCTAATTTATTTATATCTAATTATTAATCAAAATACTAATCTTTTGAATCATTTTGATAAAAATAGTGATCCCTCCCATATATCCTATGGGATAAATGGGAGGGATCCTATGGGTGGCTATATTTAACCTATGGGTGGCTAATAGGGAAGAAAAAACATAAGCATCCCCAAAACCAGTAGTACAAAAATTTGATTTTTTTATAATTTTTTTTTATTAAATGCATATTTTATAAATGATTTATCTTTCATAAGTAGAACAAGCATTATAAAATTATGAGAGTAATTCTTTGTGACGAAATTACATTTCATTAAAAACAATGTATAAAATTGCAAATTGTAAAATTATTATTTTTATTGAAAACTTATACGCATTTCATTGTTACATTGATACACCTTTATCAGTAGCATAATTGGAAGCGATTTTAAAAACTGTAGAATCTACAAAATTCCATGTCCACTGCGGATTGTCTTAAATTGGGCAAATTAAATAAGCACTCAAACATGGGTCGAAGAACATCAAAGATCAATCAAGAATTCATCTATCACAAAACACTGCTGGACAGAAGGCCAAGTACTATATTTTTTTTCTCACCTCATATCATCCATAAATGTGTTTCATGCGTTGACTTTGATCTTTTGGAGCTTTTCTACATCCTCAAAAACAAAAACTCTGTTATTAATGATCTTGCTGCTAGACAAGATTTGTCAAACTTTTGAAAATCATTTATTTTTGAAGGTGTTACCTTTTGCTTACGGCTGGTACAACATGTGGACCACATATGATGGTAACATTGTAAGCAAACATGGAACATCATAAGCAAAGGGTTAATTGTGTATTGATCTCTTTCATATGTTGTAACCTCTGTCGGATAAAATCGATTCAGTTTTTACCATCACTGCCATTTATCTTTCCGATCAAGGTGAACTACTGTGATGCCGAAATACATGTAGGTTTTTAATAAAAATTTTACCATTTGAGATTTTAAATGTTCTCAATAAAATTTAAAAGTAAGGAATGGTGGCTACTAGTTCTCAAGACTAGACACACCATTTGTGGGTTATTTCTTTGTGATAAAAAGTTACTGGTATGCTTAAAATCATCTGAAAACAGCTTAGCAATGCTGTCAATTTTTTTTCTTTATTTTTTTAGTTAATAAGAAAAAGGGATAGTTTTTTAAATAGCTATTTTTCATTGAATTTTTGATTATCTGGATCCATATTTAATTCCAATTAATCTAAATTTTTGGAGTTCTGCTGTGTGTGTAAACATGAACTGATTTTAAATTACACTGTCTTAAAATATCATATACAGGAAAATCAATAAGTATCTACTGAGTTTAAGTGCTTATTTGTTAATTTTTATTGGGGAGAAGTTATCTGCGTACCCAAAAGTAGAGGCGGAAGTAGTTTAAAAGTTAGAGAGAGGAATAGTTGTTTTTGTAGTCATTGAATTTGCATATAATTAATTGACTACAAAATTTTCATAATTAATTTATTATAGTTAATTTTGTCCTTCTTTGTAACAACTATGAGTCAATGTTTCACTAATTTAGTCAATTATTTTTATATAATTTGGTTCCTATTAAAATAAATAATTAATGTTCTACTATGCATGTATAAACGGAAGTCAGATTTGAAATTGTACTTTTTCGAAATAAAATTAGCAGAAAAATTAATGATATTTTCCAATTTGCTTAGTGTTATGAGGGGAACATAAGGTTACCACATGATGACTAAATTTAACAATTGACAATTTTATAAAAAGAGCTGCCAGTTACCACCCAATTGCCATTTTTTTTTGTCAAAAATGCCCTAAACGTACATTTTATTATTTTAATAAATAAATATGGGATCAATGAAAATTATTATTTATGTTTTTTTCTTAAAATTTTTCTTCATTTTTTAAATTAACCTTGTAATATTTACCATATTTTAAGAAATGCTTCAAAGTAAATATTTTACTTTAATATCTACAGTTTTCTTAATTATTTACAATTTTCAATTTTTGAGAAAGTAGACACTGTTATAAGAACTACTACTGACCACTGGCAGCCAGCGAGATATCCTAATATTGCCCTTTACCTATTGTATAAAATTATATATTCATTTGGAATCTATCATTCTATTAGTTACTAATGTTGTTTTATAATGTTAAAAAGAAAAGATATGCAGGATACAATATTTAAATTATTATTTAAAAGTATTACTTTTCTATTTATTATTAGGTTTACAAAAGAGCAAATGAAGAAAATAACAGCAATCCTGATTTTAATGAAGAGGCAAGAAAATATTTTGAAAGAATGGAGCAAGGTTTATTTAAATTTATGATAAATTATTTTATGTAACTATTGATTAATGCATTTGTTTTATTCCTTAACTTTCTTTTGAACTGTATTTCACTTATTAAAATAGTTGAGTTAGTTCATATCAAATTAATTCAAATAAATTGCTTTATTACTGCAATATAAAGACTACTTTTGGCTTTTGTAGTTTTAAAGACTTAAGTTTTACAAATTGTCAACAAAAATTGCGTTAATTTTTATTTTTAAGTTTGGAGGTGAAATTCTAAAAAATTTTATTTTTAATTCTATCTAAAAATCTTTGGATTTTTGTTTTATCTTTCTATTAGTTTTTTCAATTCCATTTCCTTAAAATTCAAATTATTGCATTTAGTTTTCTGTAATGTTACTTGTTTGCTTTAAAATACCGTGTTGTAGTTGTAATGCAGCCAACAAGCTATAGCAAGAAAATGTAACTCAGAGATATAATCCCATGGTCCACATAAGTTTTCAACACATGTAAGCGAGCGTTATTTTTTACTATGCCAAATATCACAAAAATAGGGGTCATTTTAGTTAAATATTTTATGTGCTATTTAAGTCTAGCTTTTCATTTTTTTATGATTACTTTTTATGGTTACTTTTTAGAATCAAACTTATAGAAATAGGGATCATGTCAAATAACACAAAAATAGGCGTCATGTTAGTTAAATATTGTATGTGCTATTTAAGCCTAGCTTTTCATTTTTTTTTATGGTTGCTTTTTAGAATCAAGCTCAGCCTGAATTCATTCCTGCTGTAAAACACACATACATTTTACAATTAAATTTTAAAAGAGAAAATACCCTTCAAAAAAAGCTTTTTGGATATATTACGCTAACACTGGAAGGTTTTTGTGGTTTTCCCTTTTATGTAACGCAAATGCAGATAAGTTTCATAAAAAAATCCTCCATGAAAGTAAATTTTTCCCAATACTTGATCCAAGACTTCCCTTGTCTTCTCAATTGGTTTCAAAATTACAATGCTACTGAGTTGAACATTGGTAGTTATAAACTCAAAAAATTGGATTAGCTGTTCCACGACATTTAAAAATTAAAGTATATATGTGTAAAATATAGTATAAATCCTTCTTGTCTCAATATCATATATCCTAAAGCTGGTGTAAAGACTTCAAATATAATTCTGTCATTATTACACTAATCTATTCCTCCTTACTTATACTCTCATAATAATTTGTCTTATCTCAATTAAAACAATTCAACTTACAAAACGGTTTTTTAAAAATTATTAAAACTCTTAAAAGTGTAAAATGTTTTGTCCTTAAATTATGTTTCTTACATCTTTTATTTCTGGCAAATGATTGCTTAAAAATATTTGATACCTTCTGTTACACTTTTTGTTTAGTGAAATAATATTAAAAAGAGAATGTCTATCTAATGTTAATATTTTTAGCAGGAGATCCAGAAGTATTAGATCTATGGAAAAAATTAAGAGACATAAGTTTAGAAGAATTGAGTTTTACTTATAAGGTATCTTTTTTAAATCCATTTTTAACTCTTTTTTTATTCTTGAATTTCATTTCTTTAAATTTTTACAATTTATACTATAATATTTTATCTTTGATGGTTACATTTATATTTCTAACGTTTATGTCACCCTTCAACTGTTTAGTTGTACAAACATAAAAGTTCTTTCTTTTTTTCTTTTTTTTTTTGTAAGCATTTTCTTATACATTCTTTTTAAAGACAAAATGCCAGTTAAGGATTAAAAATTTATCTTATACATCTAAGATAAATTTTTAATCCTTAACTGGCATTTTGATTCCATTTATTTATTTATATACAGCATTTTTTTTTTTTTTTTTTTTTTTTTTTTAGATGGAGTCTCACTCTNTTTTTTTTTTTTTTTTTTTTTTTTTTGTGATTCAAAAAGTGCAATTAGCCACTTTTACCTTATGATAGACCATAGGTTGTGCATTCCTATGCTAAACTAACATTTAGATTTCTATATATTATTGTGATTATAACTAAATAGTTATTTTTAATTCTCTTTTAGAGATAATAATGTTTTCCTATTATAGAAATTCTTTACCAAGCAGTTATAATAATTTTTATTTGTGTGTTATTTGTACAGAGGTTAAATATCACTTTTGAAGAAACTCATGGGGAATCTATGTATGCACAAAAAGCAAAAGAGATAATTGATTTCTTATTAACTAAAAAAGTTGCATCAAAGCAAGAGTAAGTATTTTTACTTTCATCATTTTTATGTGTAATTTTTTAATTACTCTTTAATTAATTTATTAAAAAATATATGAGCAGTGAATGTGAAATATTTTAAACAGCTTCTTTTCCTCATTATCATTATTTCCTTGAAACTGCTCAGTACAATTACTTAAACTTTAAACTGAGTACATGCTTTATTTATTGATTAAATTACAGTTACTTTTTTTAATAATTTGGTTTTAACTCTGATAGATTTGTTTTAAAAAAACAATAATAATTCCCATGACAAAGGTTATCCTTGTCTTATAAAGAGCTTTCACTATAGAGGCTTCCTAAATTAAACACAAATTTTCATCAAATTATTTTACTCCATCGAGTTTTGAGAGACAAATACAAACTTCAGGAAAATGACCTGCCTTTCTTTCTAAAATGGTCAGAGAAAACTGAGCAACTGTAGATGTCCAAAAGTCTGACTATCCCTTCCACTTATCCAAACTTGTTTGAGCATACTGCAACATGTATTTTCTTTACAGTAAAATCCCAAATGTTATTGTTTACACAAACACTGTAAGAACAGCAAAGGATTTTTTTTGCTGCTGGAAATGTTTATTTTGTTCATATTTTATATCTTTTGATCTTAGAAATATTTCAATTAATGGTTAAGTTATGAGTTAAAGACTAAATAAAGAAAATGAATTATTAATATGTGATTTGACGTATCTGAATGTTTATTTCAGTTTTTTTAATGTTTTCTTATATTTGTTTATCCAGATTTTTGTGATAGTTTCAGTGATTTTCTTTTTGTGAAAAAATTACTTATTATGTAAATTTATGTGTTTTTGTTGTCGTATGCCATTAAGACAAAGGGGATGTGCTTCTTGTTTTCCGGCTACATCATCTATGACCAAGAATTTGACTTCTGCCACACACATACATCTCAATGCATTTATAGAGCAGAGCTATACATACATCCATTCATTCAGCCACAGATCGTCTTGAACCAACAAACGATCAATCTCCAATTCAGTGACCCCCATAACTATTCATTTTGAAAATGCAAAGCAAATATCCTTTTTCATTTTATAATTTTCTTTTCAGGGATAATAGTATTGAAGTCGTAGTTAATAAACTTGATAATTCAGAAGATAAATTTATTTTGCAAAAGAGTGATGGCACATCTCTTTATTTAACTAGGTGAGATAAATGTGTATTTAAACTATTAGAATGACTGTTTATCTTTTGTATTGTAATAATATTCTTTGTGATTTTCAGAGACATCGCAGCTGCAGTAGATAGAAAGAACAGCTACCATTTTGATAAGATGTATTATGTGGTAAGAAGTTTATTTTTTATTCATAAGTACTATCCTATAATAACTATTAAATTATTAATAATTTTTAATTTAATTTATAACTTTCTCATTATGCCCTAAATTTATATTAAACTAAATCTTTATTTAAAACTTGCTTATATATTTTAATTCTAAGAAAGGGAGTATTGATTAATTTTATCTAGTGTTATCCTTTCACTGCATAAAGTAAGCAACACCTAGTATATTTTAAGAAAATTACTGTGAGCTGGTGAACTTAAATTTTTGCATGCATTTGTAATTTTCATTCTTTATCAGGAGTTCTTTTTAATTGCTAAAACTTTACTTACTCTTTATCCAAGTGTGTAAGTTGACTTTTTAAACCCTTAGATTTTGCGAAAATCAGGGGACAATTTATGCACGAGAATTAAAATTAGACATTTTTTAATCATGAAATATTGATGTATTATAAATGATGAGATATAAAATGAATTACTCTGTATGAATTTATCCATTTAAAAAACAATTAATAGGTTGTATACAATTAATTTTGCATTTTCTCTCATAATATTTTCTTTACATGTGAAGGTTACACTAAAAAAAAATGGAGAATGAAAAAAGTTATTCAAAAGTATTTTAAGAAATAAAACACAATGAAAACATTTAAAACATATCATAAAACTACAAGTTTAAAAATTACAGAGCATCATATCTGTTAGATGTTGTTACTAGTTAATGTTATCAGTGTTGTTTTACGGATCGCCCTCTGCACTGGAATCTACTTTATAATCATCTGCTGAGTCCCGCGAAAAATCCTCTACGCCCTCATTCAAAAAATTCAAACTTCCACACTTTTAGGAGTTTTTAATGAAATATAAATTTTCTACTGAAAAGTATACCGTCATAATTCTATAATAGGCATCACATATTTCCTAGCTTTTAAAATTTCTTTAATTTGTTTAAATTAATTTTTTAGCTATCCTTAATCTCTATTTAATAAAATTAAACAAATTATTTAACTTTTTTACATTTGATGAAAAGCAAATATAAATATTTTATTCTCTTCGTAACAATCAATGTAATGGCTAACTTTTCAATTCAATACAAATCTAAAACTCATTAATTCACTGTCGCGACTAAATCAAACATCAAAATCTATTTTTAACTCTTTATTCCTTAAGTTACTTTATTTCTCTTAATTAAAAAATTTTTCAGTTATAGGATTATGTTAATTCTCACAATGTTTTTGTCTATATTTTCTTTTGATAAATCGCCTACTATGGATTTCTTCTCATGCTCCTAACTGTCCATTGGGAACAATTCAATTACTTTTAATTTTAAATTCTTGGCGTTAGGACTTGAGAGTATTACCCCTTGGTCCAACTGTTAATCAGCTTTACAAATATCTTCTTTATGTTAGAGATAATGCATCTCTACATCCCTTTAAGGAACTTTTTTTTATTTTATGATTTTGATATCTTGATGGCCATAATGTATCATGAAATATTTCTAAAATAATTAAGCAACAATTCTTGTTTTTCAATAATTTTGTTCAATTCTTTGGAATAAATCCCTTTGTTGTAAGAAGTGCAATGCACCAAAAATCATTACTACTACAGCCATAAACTGCAATGAATTTACCTCCACCATAAAAACTAGAACAACTTCCAATAAAGTCACCGAATGTAATTCCTGGTCAAAAAGCATCAACATTCAATTATTACAAAATCTGTCAAAGCTAGAGTTATTGAATAATTTTATAAGTAGAGTTATTAAATAATAAGTAATTTGAATAATTATAGATAATTAGTGAGCAGAATTTACTCCAGGAATAGAATAATTCCTGGCCACTTATGGGGTAATTATTGGTCACTCACATATTTGGTTCAAATACATATATTTTTTTGACACCCGGTGGCTGAGTGGTAGCGCTACGCGCTCCCGTGCCACAGGTCCGGGATTCAATCCTCGAGCCAGGCAAGGTTGACTCAGCCTTTCATCCCTTCAGTGGGTTGATAAATGAGTACCGAGCATGCTTGGGAACTAAACACTGGGGGTTTGGCGTTCGGCTGACCACCTAACTGGAACAACTGCTCCTGCATCCCAGAGCCCAAGGTCAAGAAAAATGAAATGGGCCAAGTAGGCCTTGGCCCTCTATGGGCTGTGGCGCCACTGAGTTTAGTTTAGTTTACATATATTTTTTATGCATATTATTAATACAATTTGTTAAACTAATTAGATTACCCAGGAACATGGGGCAGTATTTGGTGTACTCTTGTAAATTATTTAAAATAATAGTTATAAATCCAAAGTTATTTTTCAATAATTGAAGCAGTTCACAATTTAACCATAAAAAGAAAAGTATTTAAAACTTTGATTTAGACCAAGTTCATTGTAAAAATGTATCATAACTAAGGCTATCATTGCTGTAAACTAACAATGTTGTTTTACAAAAATTTAACAAGCCATTTCAAAAAGATTTTTTTCCAAAATAAATAAACAATAGACTCATAATTAAGTAATAAATTCTAATGAGGATAGTTCAGAGTACCTCTATGATTTTTTTCATTTTGGTGAAGTGTTCTTAAAACATAACTGTGACCAGGAATTACCCCAGGTGACTCTAAATAACTAAATGGGCTTACTTCCATCAAATGAGCTATCTCATTTTTGGGTCTAAACACAACCTGGACTATCTGTTTTTGTAACCTTCATATGAATATTTCTCCATCTGTGTTTATTAATTGCATTCCAAATCAGTCTATTCTACATTATCCCTCCTACTTTTTAATAAAATAATGTACTAATCAATTTTGATAAATTTTTAGTTTTCATGACAAAGATCATTTGGCAGTAATCATAGTGAATATGGAGGATAAAGCTCAATAAGATGATACTTATTAAGAATAGATAATAATATGATAAGAATACTTAATAAGAATGTCCTTAATAAGATGGTACATTTCATCAATATTCTTTTTTCTTTTTTTTAGCTTTGCTTTTGAGTTCTTTTTTTTTTTTTCTATTTTTTTTCTGATATCATTCTTACAAATTTATATCCTGGAGAATGCATTGCATTTGGTTTTATTATTAACACTCCATGATATTTAAGAGTGTCTATTTTTTTTTATAGGACACTTAAATTTTACTATGTTGATGTCGATCATAAACATAAGTTCTTGATGTCATAAATTAATTATAAGTAATTACTTTAAAACAAATNTTTTTTTTTTTTCTTTTTTTTTTCCGATATCATTCTTACAAATTTATATCTTGGAGAATGCATTGAATTTGGTTTTATTATTAACACTCCATGATATTTAAGAGTGTCTATTTTTTTTATAGGACACTTAAATTTTACTATGTTGATGTCTATCATAAACATAAGTTCTTGATGTCATAAATTAATTATAAGTAATTACTTTAAAACAAATTTTGAAATTTATAATTTTTTTTATAAAAGTATTTTTATTGTTCATACTAGACTTGTCTATTATAAATTTCTTAAATGGTTTTCTGATAAATTTTAATAGATTTAAACCTATTTCATAAACCTCTTCCTACATTTTGTTGCCTAAATTTCTATGTAAATTTCATAAAATCTTTTGTTCTTATATAAATCAATAAAAAGTTCTATTTTGACTGTTCTAAGAATATGTATGCATTATTTATATTTTATATTTATTCTTAAATTTATGTAAAACTGTTTCATATTACATTCTTAAGTGCAGGTTGATTCAAGCCAAAGCAAGCATTTCAATCATTTGATGTATTTATTGGGTTCGATGGACTATTCTTGGGCAAGGTATCGTGTAATTGATTCTTATATTTTAAATAAGTCTTACTATAAATGTAATTTTAACTTTGTTTTTACTCTTTAAGGAACTATTTTTCCTGATTTTAAAATATTAGTTTTATTCTTAGCGGTTTTAATTTATGTAGGCTAATTAAATAATAAGCCGTCATCATCTTGTATTGCGTCAAATTAACTAAAAAGGTCTCCTGTATTTTCTAGACTGCATAATGCTTTTCAAGGGTTAGTGTTGTGAATTTGAAGCTAATTAAAAATTAGTTATTCATCAATTTATTTCAAACAGTTTGCAATAAACCCAAAGTAGTGGCTGCTTATTTAAATTATCCTTATTAACCGTTTATTGCTGTGATAATTGAAAGCACTTTGACAACCAGTACTCAGCTTTTAATGCTAAGAAATATCAAAAATTTATTGTTGTTATCATCAGAAAATCCATTCTGAATCAGCAATTCTTTGCACGCTTCCTAATTAGTCAGAAGCATATATATAAAAAAATTTGATGCAATAATTGTAAAATTGGTTAAGGGATGATTGAATGCATTTTGATAACCAGCATTCAGCTTTTAAAGCATAAAAATATCAAAAATCTGTTTATAAATCCATGGGTGCATCTTTTCAGTCCTAGTGACTGAAATCTGTCTTGAAAAAAAATAAGCTAAGAGTAGGCTAAATTTCATCAATTAATATCATCTTTTCCATTTTATTTTTGAATAAAAATTTTCTTTTCTCCTTAAAAATGTAATAAATATTTTTTGTTAAAAGTAAAAGTATGTAAATTTATAGTTATTGCGAAATGATCTAGTAATGATGGCGCAATGCAGTGATAGAACGGGTTCAATTGAACTTCAGATCATGCTTGCTTAAACTAAATTTGTACTATTGTTGTTTTTAAATTTGCTTCAGTTTCCATTTTTTCCTACTTTTTGAAATGTTGGCCAAAATTAAATTAAGATTATTTCTTTGAAGAAAAAAAATTCTAGAGATGGGACAAAAGATGAATAATTGTGAAATGAAAAATAAGTAGAGATATAAATAGCTTCATGAAAAAAATAGTGGTTCAGTTCCAATTAGTGGTGGTATTCAATGATTGATGTAAAAAGATGTACTAACTTAGCTGTTATTTGTATTTTGTTAAGTGTAAAAAAATATATATTAAATCCAAAAAAAAATATTTTAGAAAAAATAATTAAATCAATTAACTATATATATTAAATATATTAAAATATATTTAATATCAGTATTAAAAATATTATCAATATAAAAATAATATCAATTTAATATCAATATCTATTTAATATAAATATATTAAAATATATGAGCCATTATTTTGGCAAGGTACATTTTGAAGGCAGTGGGCTATAAATCTCTGAAAATTTTGGTGAACAATACTAGACTTTGTTAATTGGCCAAAAAATAAGTTCAGTCTCGAAATTTTTTTAGAGTGGCACTTATGCAAATCAACTTTTTCTATTGATAAAACAAGATTTGTCTGGATAAATTAATGTTCTATGCTTATTAATGATCATACAAATTTACTGATTTGAAATAATACTATTTAAAAATAAGAATTCAAATTGTACAACTTGAATTTTATTTATAGTTGGGTATAATAACTAATAGTTCATAGTTCCCTAAACTAAAAATTATATGTAAAAATAAGTATTACTTGCGTATTGTTCTTGGTTTGGAATTGACATTAGTACTTTTAAAGCGATGTTCATCATGTCCCGTTTGGTCGAATCTCCAACTTCAGCACTAGGAAAGGAAGGGTAGCATTTTTAAGTGACATATTAAATGAAGCTAAGGAAAGGATGTTAGAAAACATGAGAAATTCACCAAGTAAGTTTTACTCTTTAAATTATCAATTTCTACTTTTATTTTATTTTTAGTACTAAAACACATTTTACTATATTTGAAATGACTGATTATTTTTATGTCTATCCATTATTATATAAGTATATTAGGGCAATCTTCACAAATATTATCTATTGATTTGCACATTTTGCTATTATAAATTGTAAAATCAAGTTGCAATTATGTTTTTTTTTTTACCTTATGTAGTTTTCTTTGAACTATTAAAATTATCTGTACAACCAGTGACTCAAGAATGGGGGGGGGGTTCTCTCCCTTCTTGTGTGTACTTATATACATACATACATATATATATATATACATACAAGGTACATAGCGTTTTTAAAAAGTGCTTATTTTCGGTTTTTAAAAGCCCTTAAAGGTAATCTTTTCTTTCGGTGTTTTTAAAAAGTGCTTGATTTTCCCTTTTTTCAAAATGAGATTTTTCCTTTACTGTGTTGATTTTCCCCACAAATTATTCAAAAAAACACAATTCACATTGTTCTATTCAATGTTTTCACAATTCATTCAACCTCAATCTCTTTTGGCGTAGTGTCAGTCCGTAGAGTATGAAAATGCCATTCGTTTTACATTATTCAAAATTTCATGATTTTTGTCGAAAACAATGTTGAAAGTTTTTTTTTTCTTTTTTCGGCATGATGGTTAAAACAAGATAAAACCGTCAATTGTCAAAAACTCTCCAACCCTGCCTGGTTATGATATTTTTTTAAAGTGCTTAAAAATATATTTTGAGTGCTTGAAAAGTGCTTAAAAGGTGCTTATTTTTTGTTGAATGATTTGGCTACTCACCCTTATATATATATATATATATTTTAGTGTTAACCGGATCCAAATAATCTAAATCTCACGCGATCGAACCGCAATTTAAACTTCATGAATTAAACTGTTTTAAAATTAATAAGAGTAATTGTTTACCTGAAACTTATTTATCTTTCATTTAACAGTATTTTTTTTCTTAATTCTGTTTCACTGTTTTTTTTTTTAATTATTATTATTCTGTTTGCTGCTGCATTTGAAACCAAGATTTTTCCGATCGGTCAACAATAGTGACGTATATTTCCTCTACCGCCGATGAGTAGGTGATGATTTTAAGTGATGCAAGTCATAATTTTCACTATGGAAACCTTAAAGCTCGCTTGACATATTTTTTTTTTTTTAGAATTCAGGCGTACAAAAAATTATCTGTTTTTTATTGTAAATTTAATTACATGAATATTAAGTAAAAAATTATGATCTTAGAAGGAGCTGTGTGTCTTCCTTCAAAAAGAGATGAAAGGCTAAAGCCTCTCTGCCTCCCCCCCCCCAATTCCATGGTCTTTTTGTCAACAGATACTTAAGTACATTTTGAAACAAGAACTATTTTTGTTTGTTTTTTGGTATTTCAAATACATAAACATTCATAGTTTAATCCATACCTGCCAAGTGTATTCTCAAAAAAAGGTTGTTTTTTTAAAATTTTGCCGATAAAATATCCGCTGATGGCAAAAATACTTCTCTAATTTCTCAACAAATGTTGCTATTGCCAGTACTGCAGTATGTTGAGTGTTTATAAATAATGAGTTTATAAATATATGAGTAATTATAAATAATGGTTTAAAAAAATCTTTAGATTAGGATTTATATACATATTTTTTACTTCGCTAAATGTAAGTGCTTATAATTATTTCCAATTTTGAAATTTTTTTTTTGACTTACATGATTATGCATAATGTATCAAAGCTTTGCTCGTGGCCTAAGAAATACTGTTAGTAAAGTCTCTGTTATTTTATTTCTCCAATGTTGGCTGGTATGTTAATCTATGTTTCTTTGTAGATACTAAAGTCAGTGAAAATATGGAATGTGTTGCTGATTTACTCGGCATAGCATCATTAATAATTAATGACTTCAGAGTAAGAAGGAAAAAAGATTTCAAGTTTGAGTGGGAAAAGGTATTAAGCATGAAAGCAGATTCTGGAGTTACGCTGCAATACTGCCATGCCCGATTAAATAGGTGAGAACTATTTAATTTTTATGGTAGAGCTGTGCTGTGTGCACTCTTATTCTAATTCGAAAGTTTGAATACTCTTTAAAAAAAAAAAATTTTTGTAATTTTGTTGAAATGGTTAACTAATTATAAGAGGATTTCAATATTTAAGTTTAATGAGTTGTGGTGGTTGGTTGTGTTCTGGAGATGAATAGATTGAGTTTACATTGATTTAGTATTTATTTTACATTTTAAATGTTAAGTAAAAGAAGAGTAATAAATGAGCAACGCATCTTGCTACAATGGCGGTTGGGATTCTTCTGGCGAAAATGAGAAGTAAAAAGACTGTTACTGATCGTAACTGTTGCGGTTACGATTAAGTTAATTTCAGTCGCCGCAGAGTTACTAAGTTACAATTGATAAGGCGTAGCCACTGATAAGGCCTCCCAAGCTGGACAGGTCAGTGGGGAGACAGCAGACTAAAAGTAACACTCTGGCCCTCCAGGTTGGGGGTTGAGCTTAGGGTTAACAAACCCTATCTCCTAAAAACCTACTTGTTACAGAAACTGAAAGCATGCAGATTCTTCTCTCTGAAGTGGATGAAAGCCCTCTACCAAATATATTCCTTCCAGTTAGTATGAGTCCTGGTTGTGAAAGCCAATCAAGTGTTTCCATAAAATTTGTTATAGCAGAAATCCTTAGAAGAGCTAATGAACCGAATGATCTGGAAATTAAAAAACGTTAATGGAAATGGAATGGTCATGTTTTAAATAAACCTAAAAAATTTAAAGTGAAACAAGTATTTGATTCGAACCTTCAGGGCAATAGAAAAAGAGGAAGACCTAAAAATACTCGGTGCAGGATGATTGTAAAAGAATTGAAAACAATATGGAGAGAGGCAAAATATCTAGCCACAAATAGAGTGGGATAGAAAACTATGATAAAAGCCCTATGCTCCAATTCGGAGTAAGTGGAATATGTGTGTGTCTGTGAGTTACAATTAATAACTTTTTGAACTCCCAAAAATTATAAACTTTTTATTAATGTTTAAAATGCAACCTTTTAAGTTATTTTTTTTTCTTTTTTTAATTTAATTTATTTATTTTTAGTATCAAAGAAAACTGTGGTATAGATTTAAGTTTGAATTGTGAACTTACTAGTCTTGTTGAGCCAGAAGCTATTTCACTGATAGCTCATCTATCCAGGTCTGTATCAAAAATATTTTGAGATTTCTACCATGGTCAGAGATGCCACCTGTATTAGTACTTTGACCTTTGTAATTCTAAAATTCTTGTTTAATTACAAATTCGCCAACCATTGATAAAAAATAGAGAATCAAATAATCCTCATTTCCATGTGATGAAAAAGAAAATCAAATGATTTTAAATGTACTTGGCGCAGTTATTTTCTCAAGCAATATTTTTTGGGAGAAATTTTAAGATTTAATAAAGAATAATCTAAAATTTTATTTTTTGAAATGGTTTTAACTCTTATTTGTTAAGTTTAAAATATTCTGAAAGACAGATGGAAAAGCGAAATTTGAAGAATTGAAACTAGACTTTTTTATACTGAACGATCAGTTTTGGGCTTTAGTTTTCTTTTCATAAATCATCCGAAATTTTGCAGTTAATCTGTTCCAATAGCTAGAGTTAAAGTTGAACAAAATTTTTAAAGATTTTAGAATTTGCTTTTAGGCAATAGGCAATCTTTCAATTTTAAGAATATCAAAAAAATATTTGCAAACATTAAAAAGCATGGCTATTCTTATTTTTATGAAGCTAGTCTTATTCATCTTTTAGGTATATATTTACGTTTTTTTGTAATATTTATTTAAAAAATTACTAACATAAAATAACTTTTAGAAAGTTATTAAGGGCATTTTTTTTGTTTTTTTAAAAAAATTATGTTTAGGTTACTAAGATTCTAGCCTTGCTATTGAGTATATTTTTCCAATCTTGTCTGATTTGTGGCACCCTCTGTTTTGCAGTCAAAATAAGCAAGAAGATGTATGAGTTATAAAATAAGTAAGGAATGACCTGTATGAACATGAAAATAAGCTTAACCATATTTTTCTTTTAAATGGAGTGAAACCACTTTTTAAGTAGGGCCTTCATATTTTTATGCCTATTAGACCTCATAAATTATGATTTTAAAAACTTTGTGAATTTATGCGTTGTTTACCAATTATGTTAATTTAATTTTAATGTTTTTTTGTCTTGTATTTCTTAAAAAAATTTCATACATTTTAAAAATACTATGTCCAATGATATTTTTAAAACATCTACCCTTTAACAGTTTTTTATTGTCTAGAATTTGAATTATTTGCCGACTTATCTGACTATTAAATTATTATCATTTTTGTTTAAAATATATTTCTTGTTAAAATGTTTAGTGACTTATTCTATTTTATTATTCTATATTATATGACCATTTCAAGATCTCTTTCAATTTTTATAATTTTTTTTTTTCTCTCTTAAAGGTTTGATGAAATCATTTACCAGTCTTACTCAGATTTAGAGCCATGTGTTCTTGTACACTATATGTTTTCTCTTAGGTGAGTTTTATTATGATTAAATGTAAAATAGTTTTGAGTTTTTTTTATTTTTTTTTTTAGTTTTTTTAATGTCACAATTCGGCTTGTCTTCCAACACCAAGTCTTCCAAAACTGATCAAAGATTTGAAATATCAATAAAGGAAAAACGAGAAAGATAGAAATATTCTGTTTCCTTTGTTCTGCTTTAGAAACTTAGTATTTTTGGATTAGTAAAAAATTTCTTCAACAGATGTCTCTGCTATCTAGAAAAACTGCATATCGGACCATTTCAGCTGAAAAAATCTGTATGGCCGTAGGTTATTTGTCCACACAATGATGCTGCAAGTAGTGGTTGTTTTGGAAACATTTTTTTATTTTCACAATTTGCAGTGCCACCTGTTCATAAGCATTATAACCAATTTGTAATTTGGTGGCAATAAATGCCTGGTTTTTTGAGCTAATACAGCAAACTGCACATTTCTGTTGCCTTGAATTTCTTTTAAATTTCTTTTTCAAATCAGTTTTTTTTTCATATCTGATAATATATTTTATCTTTATAAGCTAAAAAAATATTTTAATTAATTAAGTTTTGTCCATTTAACTTTAAGAATGACTATTCTTTTTTGCTTTTATTTGTAAGCCCTTTTGTGTTCAGTATTCCCTGGATATAAATTTATAGCTCCTTAGCATTGAATTGTAAATCATTGATATTGTTGTGTCTGTTATAACATTCTTCGTTAAATTTTTCAATGTAATTTTGCATAAAACTTTTTGTTTTTAATTTTCTTCATAGGAATGAAATTAGCCGTGCAATCAAAGTGCTGCCTGTCAAAGGTTCTAATCCATATGTTGCAAGAGTATGTATTTTCTTTTCTTCTTATTAACTTCTTATTTACTCTTTAATAAGAAGTAAAATATTATGAAAAGAAAAGTTTCTTTATCCCTTTATGTATTGGAGTATGTATCTTTTGTGTTTTCATAATTTATGTTTGATTTTGAAGAATTTATTGCTATATTTCAATTTTAAACTCCTGATTAGTTATACTTTTTTCCTGAGTTATATTTTTTTACTACAATAATAATTTATTTGAGTCATTGTAGAACATTCAAACTGTATTAATAAATACAATTTTATTAGTTATATTTTACCACTTTACCAAACTTTTTTGGTTCCCTATGATTTTTGTTAATTGAATTTTCATGATTTTTTTCTTTTAATTGCAAATTTAGCTTTCGACTACTAATTTTTCTTCTAAATTATTGTGCTTTATGAAAGACAGTTAACAATCGGCATGTTGAAAATTTGTGCTCAGATGTGTGATATTGAAATCTTCAAGCTCTTAGAAATAATTTTAGTAAAGATAAAAGTTTTGCTATCTATTCATTTAATTTCTTTGGGAAAATTATTTTTTCATCATCTGCTCTTTGTATTATTTAAGATACTGTTGCATTACTAAATACATTTTTATTAAAAAAAGATTTGAAGTTCAATTCATATAACCTTTTTTTAAAAAAATTAATTAAATATCTGTATTTTTTTTTTCAAGAAAATTATTAAATTATTTTTAAAACTTCTATTAAATTTTTACTCCCATAGCTCAAAAATACATTTAGTATCTCTATAAATGGGCTTGAATTATTATTATTATTGTTTTGAATTATTATTAAAACTAAACTAAACTCAGTGGCGCGACAGCCCATAGAGGGCCAAGGCCTACTGTTCCTATCTCTTGGACTCTAGGGTGCGAGAGCAGATGTTCTGGTTAGGTGGTCAGCCGAGCTCGGAGCCCTCAGTGTTTAGTTCCCAATCATGCTTGGTACTCATTTATGGACTCACTGAAGGGATGAAAGGCTGAGTCAACCTTGCCTGGCCCGAGGGTCGAACTCAGGACCTGTGGCACAGGAGAGCGAGGTGCTACCACTCAGCCACTGTATTTGCCAAAGCAGAAAACACGAAAAATTTGTGTCCTTGATTTGAAGTTTATTTAATATATTATGCAGAAAAACAGCCTTAAGATGAGAGAATCTCTTATCAGCTCATAATAGGTTCCTATATACTAATGTTAGGAAACAAAAAAAAAACAGTTATTTAAAATAATAGAAATTAATTAACATGATAAAATTAGAATATTCAACAATTATAAAATGCTGAAAGAGAATGAAAAAATATTTATCATATGATTTTAAACTTGCATTACTATACAATTCTTTCTTGTTATGACAAAATTATTTTTATAATAATTTTGTAACTCTTTACTTTTTAGTATTCATATACAAATAATTTTTTTAATTATTTCTTTTTCTTTCACTTGTAGGCTAGGTTGCTACTGTTCCATGCATCATATTTAGTTCTTCATAAAAGTTTTGAACTGATGGGCATAACTCCACTCGATAAAATGTAGAATAATTCCATCATCATGTATGTAATGTCACAATAGTTTTAATAAATTTATTTCAGTATTTATTGCTTTGTTTTATTATGTTTGATTTTTGAAGAATAATTATTAAGGGAGAGTGTTGTAACCTGGGATGAACAGTACAGTCATGTCATCAATTTGCAACTACAAAACTCACCTGACATGGTTGTTTCCTCAGCCACCATAAGTTAGTGTTGAGTGCTAACAATTCTAAAGTGAAATTTGTGGGAGCTAAAAAATATTTCATCTGAAAAAAAAAAAAATTTATTTCATTTATTTTTTTTCTATTTTTTCCCTAATTGATTAGTGTTAAAAATAATTTTTTGCTGAAGATAATTTTAACGAAAAATAAGCTAATAATCATGTACTCCTTCATTTTACATACATCAAACAGATGCAGAATATCGTACGATATATCAAAACTCCTTAATAATGAAATTAAATTAGATGAATAAGCTTCTGCATATGATATTAGTTATTAATTTTTTTTAAAAAGAAATATTTTTACTCACATAAATTAATATATTCCTTTAATAGGTTAGTGTCCTCGAATTGTGATATTTCCCACGAAAGATCCAATATTCTCAAATCTTGATTTAAAAATCTGGTCATCTAAATTATAAATATTCAAAGGAAAGATCTCAATGTTGCATTGTATTGACACAGATCCAGTTTTGCAGGTTTAGTTCTCGATTCTGTTAAGATAAAATTAAGCCTGATCCTTTAGCCCCATTACCATTGCAACTTGGCCTACAATTTATTTATTTTTACATTTCATTTAACTTATATTTACTGGCTTAGTTGACAGGGCGAGAACTTAAGTTTGTGAGAACGGGAATTCAAATCCAGCCAGCTGAAGAGTTAAGTGTAGTAAATAGTGACTGATGCACGTTAAATCTGTCTGGTTACAAAGTCCTCCATGTTCTCATAACAAATCAGTACCTCTAGGAGTAATGAATCGAAGATTGATTGTTCTCTGGTTCAGGTCAAAATTATGATCTTTGGACAAATTAATAGGTCCACCCTTTGAACAGGTGTGACTTATGGGTGAGGCAGAAGTCAAGTTCTTGGCCATAGATGGCGCCACTGGAAAACAGGAACAATTGCAGACATTCTGGCTACAAATAGTGCTATAAACTAAGTCTAGCACTAAAAAATGAACGAAAGATCGAGGTACCTCGAAAGTTATGAAATAGAAAGCGAATTCAGTTACGAGTATTTGAGTTCGCTCCTAAACTTTAAAACAATTAACACTTATTGATATGTATTATATATCTATATATATCCGTCGTTGTACAGCCGACCCAATTTTGGGTTTACGACTATTTATGTTCAACTCCATAGCCTTGCAATTTTGAACCCATTCCAGAAGACAAGGGAACTCCTAGATCAAGTATGGGAAGAAATTTGCCTTCGTGGAGGACTTTTTGATGAAACTAACCCGCATTCGCTTTACATGGAGAGGAAGACCACGAGAACCTCCCACGGTTAGTCACTTGAGCGAATTAGGAAATATCGCTCAAGTGACTTTTCATTTAATAACCGTCGTTGAACAGCCGACCCGAATTTGAGTTTACGGCTACGAGTTTGATTTACGATTCAAATCTGAAGCCTTGTAATTTTGAACCCAATCCAGAAGACAAGGAAACTCGTGGATCAGTACCCCCAGAGGTATTGATTTGTTATGGGAACATGGAGGCTTTGCATCTCGACAGATTTAACGTGCATCAGACACCATTTACTACACGGGGAGTCTTCGGCCGGCAGGGAATCAAACCCAAAAACTCTTGAACATGGTCCCAGTGCCCTACCAACCAGGCGTTTCAGCCCGTATTATACATCTATTTTATTTTATAACCGTCGTTGAACAGCCGACCAAATTGTATGGGTTTATGATTACTAATGTTCAACTCCGTAGCCTTGTAATTTTGAATCCAATCCAGAAGACAAGGGAACTCCTAAATCGAGTATTGGGTGAAATTTGCCTTCGTGGAGGACTTCTTTGATGAAGCTAACCCGCATTTGCGTTTAATGGAGAGGAAGACCACGAGAACCTACCACGGTTAGCTTGACGGCAAGGGGACTCTAACTCATGATCCGTCTACCACTGAGGATATTTCGCGTCAGCACTGTGGTCGGTGAAAGTCGGATACGGAATTTATATCGACTGGGATTCGAACCCGGTTCGCCTCATTGGAAGGCGAACGCTCTATCCCCTGAACATTCGCGGCTCGTATTATATATTTAGTCAATATCAAAGCAACCCTGAAAAAAATTAATCAATTGAGACTTACGTTAGAAAAACTGTGTTTTTGATGTATGAGAATAGATCGCTCATGGGCTGCAATAGCGGCACAACTCAAAAAATCAAGTTTTGAGATAAGTGGGTTTAAAGTTTTCATTGCTAAGCAAAATGCGTAAGAAATACTTCCCTTTGCTTATACGAAGATTACCTTCAAGTTGAATTATGAATTGTGCAAGTATTGCTGCTGAAAGAATGTGTATTTTCATATTTACATCTGTCCTTAGTCAAAAACGCATGTTTTTTTAGTTGTGCCGCTATTGCAGCCCATGAGCGATATATTATGCATTGTTTTAATTTAAAAATTTGTAAAATGAGTTTGGGCGTATTAAATTTTAAGATTTTATTTAGATAAATATTTTGTTAAAAAAATTCCTTTTTATAAAATCAACCTACAAATCCTACTTCATTATTTAAAAAAAAAAAAAAAAANAAAACGAAGTTTGAAATAACAAACTTAAAAAAAAAAAAAAAAGACTTCCAACAACTGAAGCAATTATTTCATAGTTCACCAACTTTCCAAAATTAATTTTCTTAATTTTTAATCGATGCTTTCTGCATCGTTCAAAACGAAGTTTGAAATAACAAACTTAAAAAAAAAATTTAATTTCATAATTTTCTACAAAAAAAAGAAGAAAAAAGGAAATTGCCTTGATCACTCAGAGACTATAAAGCCAGTACTAGTGGCAACTTTTATTAATCTAAAATTTGCAGTTTTGAATACCTAGTTGAAATTTTACAGTTTGAACATAAGTATAAACGATACATAAATTAAAAAAATTATAATTCAAGTTCAAAATTTAATGCACAGATAGTTACATACTAGTAGAATAAAAAAAAATTTTTTAAATATATGCGTGAGGATCATATTAAAATTGTAATTAAATAAAATATGCCTTTAATACAATAAATGAATTAAAATAAATAAACGAATTTAAAAGAAAATATTATAAATATAAAAATCAAAATTTTATACTACAAAAATCAAATTCTGGAATTGAAAAAACAGTATTTCGATTCTAGATAACGAGATTAAAATCAATAACGTCAATTTCTAATTAAAACCTAAACAAAACTTGCTTAAAATGAAAATAATAATCGTTTATTGTCAAATTAATGTATAATTTCATAGCTAAATTTTTGTTTGCGTATTTTGTTCTGCAAATTTTTGTTTGCAAAGTTCAAAAATTGTAGTTCAATAAATGCTGTTGTTTTGAATTTTCATTTACTTTCAAAAATTAGGAGCTGGCTTTTCTTTTTAATTGAAATTTCTAATATTATGCTTATTTAATGTTTACGACAGAGCAAACGAAAACAAACTTTTATCCTCAAAAGGGATAAAGCATGCATTGTGCTATGAAGACTTAAGAAGAAAAATATGTAATTTCCGTTTTGGTTTCGTTTTTTTTAAACAATATTTTATTCAATTAATCACTTGACCTTGATACACACAAATACCGGGGAAATTCCCCCACTCAGACTTTGTAGACGCTTTACTATCCATTCTCGACGATTCCTGAAGTTTGCTTGGTGAAATTTTTCTTAATAAACGAAGGCCAGATATCAAATTTCTTTTCAGATATCAAAATTGTTAAATAGTAGATTCCTTAATTGTCGCTAATCTTGGAATTTAAAGGATCAGATGTCGTTTATGTGAGTATCTTATTTGTAAACTAAACATGGAAAGTAATTTAGTTCTTTCGTTGTTATCATGTAATTTTTTTCGATCACATTTTTTAAATGACAGAAATTAACTTACTAAGATTTTGCTATAAAATAGCGCTATAGTTATATAACTTGAAATGTTGAAGTATTATAGACTAGAGTGTCTAATTATTCGCTGCTTGTTATTCGTATTTAGTTTACAGTTCTTTATAATATCTATAGCCCATTTACTATATTATCAAGTGTAGTATATTATGAAATTATTGATATGCCAGATATACAAATTATATTTAAAAAGCCACTTACTGGGTATCCGCGCCCCTGGAAAGTCGAAAAATCATGGAAAGTTATGAATTTCAGTATTGAACAAAATTTGTCATGATTTTAACTATTTTTTTTAAAAAATCATGGAAAGTCATGGATTTAGATTGCCGAAAAATCTAATTTTTTTAAATGGAATCCCCCCTCAATTTATCTTGTTCCGAATTGATAGCAAAATCATCACTCACAGTTTTATTTTATTAAAATATAAAATGTATTTATCAGGTTCTTTAAAAATAATGGTGTTCTTTCAAAAAATTAAAGAAAATACATAATTTCTAGAGCGAATTATCTTTTAAACTTCTGTGATTTAAGAATTTTTATTATTTATTTTTTTATTATTTCATTAATTTAAAATTCTAGCTGAAGCAAACCAGTCATTGGCAATTTTTTTTTATTCCGAAATGAAAACAGAAGAATCAGGAGTATTTCTTTTCTTTCTGATTAACAAGAAAAGTATCTTTAGAATAAAATTCTGTAGAAAAAAAGAAAAAAAATTATTTGCTTTTGTATTTTTTCCAGCTATTTTATTGTTTCTATTGTTCTCTTTCTTTACTCTATTTTTTAAATTTAATATCTATAAATATGAAGATGCATATCAGTTTTGGTTTTGCCTATTATTTCAATTAATGTTATTATAATGATTTTTTTAATTTATTATTGTGTTTTTGTCGGAGAAAATAGTAACTTCATTAAATCATGAAAAATTCTTGGAATTAGTCATGGAAAATCATGAAAAGTCATGAATTTGAAAATCTAAAATGTAGCAGATACCCAGCAGCCCAGCACTTACTAAATTGCAATAATCTAATAAAGTCGCAGTAATATAGTTTAAGATACTCGACTGGGTGACAAGCAGCAATTTCGACGAAAATTTCGATTTTTTTTTCATTGCCTATATTTGAACTTTTGTTCATTAGAACTTATGCTCACCGATCTTAAGAATCAAAGTTGCAGTTTTTCGCATGCTGACAAACGCAACGGAATGTCAATTACATACTTAAAATGCATATTCAGAAAAACGTTGATTATGACAAAATATCTTTACGCATATTACAAAAGAAAAGTTTAATATGAAATTCCTGCGAAACTTTGTGTGTGGATGTTGTATAAAGATAGTTATGTTTTGAACTAAAAGCTAAGATTTATGTGTGGATTAATTTTTTGTATCATGCTTAAAGTAAGAGTGTTTTTGGCCGGGATAACCTGGTTCGCAGAGTGCTGGCTCACGTTTGTGAGAACGGGAGTTTGAATCCAGCCTGCCGAAGTAGTAAATGGTGATTGGCGCACGTTAAATCTCTCGTGTCACTAAGTCCTCCATGTTCCCAAAGGAAATCAGTACCTTAAGGGTACTGAAATGGAGATTGATTGTTCTCTGGTTCAGGTCAAAATTACAATCTGTGAAAGAATGAATGGGCCTGCCCTATTAACGGGTGTGACGTATGGGTGTGGCAAAAGTTGATTTCTTGGCCAGAGATGGCGCCACTGGAAAACAAGAGCAATCGCACTCCCTTCTGTCTCAATGGCCGATGACAATAACAACAGTAAGAATGTTAAGAAATTTTTATCAAAATAGAAAAACAGTATTGAACAATATATTTAGTTGTATTTCATTGTATATTTGAATTTTTTTTTTAAATATTATTTCACGACGCAAGTAATCATTTTATTATCAAAAAAGAAAATGAAACAGTACTGAACAATATATTTAGTTGTATTTCATTGCACATTTGAATTTTTTTTTAAATATTATTTCGCGACGCAAGTAATCATTTTATTATCAAAAAAGAAAAAGAAACAGTACTGAACAATATATTTAGTTGTATTTCATTGCACATTTGAATTTTTTTTTAAATATTATTTCATGACGCAAATAATCATTTTATTATCAAAAAAGAAAAAACACAGTACTGAACAATATATTTAGTTGTATTTCATGGCATATTTGAATTTTTTTTTAAATATTATTTCACGACGCAAGTAATCATATTATTGATCTAGTAAAAAATCATTTTGATATTCATGCATTATAATTTGTTGTAGACCTGTTGGCTTGAGATAAAAAAAACTTATAGATTTTGTGCCCAAACTTGCCTCAATTTTGAAAAAATAATTTATGAATTTTTAAAGTTTACTCTAGATTTATAATTTTAAGACTCCTGCTTACCAAAAAAAAGGTAAATTTTAATTTAAGTTATTTTCAAACAAAAATTTTTGCCTTACCCAGTCTGATACCTTATAATTAATTAACAAATTTTATTTACGTTTCAAAAAAATATAAACCTTATATAGACATTTTGTAAATATTGTGTATGTTTTATGTAAAAAAAATTACTTTTGTCTAAGATATTGCTCCTGATTAGGACTGGACGATATAAGAAGTTTTATATCGTCCGAAATTTTATGATGCATCGTCAGTTTTGCATCGCGTTATAGTATTTTTGAAATTCATTTACTTGTAAGGCGCAGAAAGTCAGATTTCTATCAAAACTTCATACTCAGATTGATTTAAATCAATTTATGAATTTGATGTACATGTTTTGCTTAAGAAAGATATTAATGTTATATTTTCTAAAAATGATCGCGCAAATAACGATAGATTTCTTAGTTTAAAGATAAATAATAAAAAAATAAATAAAATTGAAATTNCTCCCTGGTTATTTCAGTTTCCGTTTTTAAAAGCGCTATATGTTGAGCCATCTTAGCTAGATTTGGCATGTGACATTTTTAGCGGCAATCATTGGCCTATTTTCTAGCGTTGCCATTCGCGGAGTTGTAATGAGGCTTTTTTTTATCGCCGTGTAAGAGAAATATATATATAGATTAAGTTGGTTAAAAATTATTTGCATGTTTAAAACAAAGTGCTAAATAAATTAAACATAAAAAACACTTTTAAAACACTATTTTTTTATCATTATTATTTAACATAAATAATAAAGTTAAATTGAATAATTACCAAATTCTGAACGATAAAACAGAGTAAGATTTAATTTCTTAAAAATAAAAGCAAAGGAATTATGATATTCGATAATATATTCAACTGACAATATTGAAAGAAAATTAAAAAATACGATTATACTCTTGAATAAAACGAAGTGCTAAATGATTTTAAAAAAAGAAGTCGCAATCGCAAACAGTACTAATTTTTTTGAATAAACAAAGTTGATTGACTTACGTCCAAATCCAAAAGAGGAAAAATAAGTTTTGTTATAATTTTATTTATACAAATGAAAACAACTAAAGATTTATAAATTTAAAATCAGTAATAAAAACCCATTAAATTATTATTTTATCCAAAAAGTTTTTAATAAACTAAAATAAAGTAAAAAATAGTCTAACAAATTTAAGTACTTTTTAATTTAATTCTTTATGTCCACCTTAAATTAGATTTCCGTTTGTAATAAATTCAATAATGTAAAATAATACTTAAACATATATTATCAAAATTAATCTTCACATTTAAATATAAAAAAGAAAGTTTTGTTTAAAAAAAAAATTTACCTAATTAATTAAGAAACAAGCGATCACAAAGTCAGTCCCACTGAAAATAATCTGCAAGAAACGATATCAAGTCGCAACGAGAGGAAAAAAAAACTAAGAGGTGCAGAAACGAACATGCGAGATCACGTTATATGTTCTCAAAACTGATTCTGATTCTACCGCTCATCAATCAAGGCCGTTTCAATATAACGATACGTAACATCGTCTTCCCCAGCGCGAGTTGGCATCCTTGCGTGTCTTGTATCGCAATATCGTTCGTCTTCGTTACTCGACGGCTTAAATCAGATTTCTGATGCATCGCCTGGAACGAAAGTCGCTGTATCGGCCTGCCGATACAGGCGTTAAATCGATATGTCGCGATATATCGATTTATAGCCCAGTCCTACTCCTGATATTAAATTATTTGCTTTCTGAAAACACTAAATTATTGTACTTTCAAAACATTTGTTTTAAAACTATTATATTGCTTATGTTTTTGTCCCCACTTATTTTTTGGCAGAAAATAAGATTTTATTTAGAAATTTATAATCTATGAAAAGAATTGTTTTTTAAAAACATAAGAGTATCAATTTCTCTTAGAAACATAGAACAGTGTTCTGCATTAACATAAGGCGCTATTTAAACACGTCTACAAAATCCGGGGATATTCCCGTATTGTGATTTGCGCCAACTACCAACACTAAAGCGCCAAATGGGTTTCAAACTTGCAATTTTTTTTTAAAAAAAACCCGTATAGAGGTTTGCTAAGCGGTCGATTTCCAATTCAGTTGCTTTTAACGGTCGATGCCATGTCTCGATTGCATTTTCGATATTGATATTGATTTTCACGGGGATTTTAAATATACCGATATATTTCAAACAATATAGAAAATTCGAAACGTGTATTTAGGTATTTACTTTTTAAGGCAATAATTCTATTGAATTTTTGGCAGTTATTGCTATTGATTTCTCCATAGTTTTTTAATCTGTTATTTTTTATGCGATATTATTTATTGCAACAACCTAATCTCGAAACGAAACACGATTCAAGGAGTCCGATTCGCACGATTTCGTCGTCGGTCAATTTTTCGGCAATTGCTACTACGGATTATACTTCTTGATGATCTTTATCTTTGATTTTATTTACTGATGATCTTTATCTTTATTATGATCTTTAATTATTTTTT